TATATATATATATATATATATATATATATATATTGTCAATTACTGTTTATCTCGAAAATCGAGGCACACTCGTCGGAGTGGAGAGGTTAACCATCTTTTCGCCCAGTGACGATATAACCAGGTACTGGTTATCATACGAACTTCTCAAAAATTCCTTTTTAAATGAAAAAGGAATCGCTTTCGATGAATGATTTGTGGTTTAGAAGATATCCTTTTATCGGTAGGAAAATAAATGTCCTCCCAGTAAGTTGGAAATCGATTTCTCAAGGTTATATGTGAGATAAGTAGTTGAAGTTAAACATTCGATAGAATACTAATTGAAATTACATTGAATAATTACATTGTCTTGTTAACAATGATAGCAAATTTGATCGAAGGATATAAAAATAATAAAGAATTTATTGAGCTAACAATACCAAATGACAGGCTAATCAATTCCTTATTGAAAGAGTCACTATCAAGCATTTATAGGGAGTATTGTTATTCCAGGCGATTCTTGTAGAATATCTTAAACATTTAATCATTTACTCTCCTTGTCTTTTAGCTTCGGTCAATTATGGTCAGACTTAATGGAGGTAATTAGAAACCGCAGCGCTCATCTCACAGCTTTGAGTAGTGTGTTGCCTAAAAGCCTCTCCATTCTTGGTGCTCAAGTTAAGAAGCATGAAATACTGGAGACGGAGCTTGTTTCCATTCAACAGCAGGTAGGGATTCAAACCGCATCACAGCATTCATTAATAATTATTGATTGTGTGAAAGCGTTTCGTTTCACTTTAGGTCGATGATACAGCTCGAGAAGGTCAGGAACTGCTTCTATTTCTACAGGGTTTTAAGAACCGAAGTGATGGAAATTCTAAATCAGAAGCCATCATTTCCAGTCGACTTAAACAACTTCTGTCTGCGTGGAAAGAATTGAATGCTAAAATGATTGAAAGAAGGAAATTCCTCAATCAATGCAGCAAATATCTGAAATTTTGTGAAACAGTAAGCACTTCCCCAACATTAATTAATTTATCAGTCTTATGAATTACTATTAATGCCCCGTTTTTCGCTCTAAATAGATTCGAGATGTCTTCTTTTGGTGCACTGAGATGGAGAATGAAATCACCTCAATTGAACCGATTGCTAGAACCACTGCAGAAGCCTTTGCAATGTTGGATCAAAAGCAACTGAATGGTCATGCAAATCAAGCTCAGAAAGCACTAGAATCAATTGATTGCAGTCAAGGTGAATTGATGCAAGCACACTATTTCCGCATGTCTGATGAATTGCAACAACATTGGAAACCGATCTCGATGCAACTGATTGCCGAAGCTGAATCTATGATTGAAGAAAACCACTATGCTTCCAGTGACGTAAGTTTGAGTTTATCTTATGGTTCATCATGAAAATTATTTCCTTTTTTTTTAAGTTTCACATTTTTTCGTTGCAGTTGAAAAATAAGGTGGATCAAATGGTGATGACCCTACGTGGCATCGAGGATGGATTGAAGAATTATAATCGCTGGATTCTGCAAATACTGGACCTTCTTCTTCTAAAGCGAGAGATGTCCAAGTTCATAGGTCAAACTACAGTTCAGCAAGCTCGAATAGAGGCCATTCAACTGGAATGCAGTACCTCTGTGACCAATTCAAAATATGCCAGTTGTGATAAACTTGAGTCTAGTTTAGACGTGAGCAATTTTCTTCCAAAAATATATCATAAGTAAATTGACTTACTCACTACAACCATCTTCATTTAATCTTGGGTTTAGGTGAAAAGCATGATTAAAAGAACGGAAAGTATCACTAAAATGATGCAATCAAATGATGATAAAATCGCATCTTTGACATCTTCGGCAAATCTAATGATACAAAAGAAACACTATGCTTCGAAACAGATCCATGATGTAGTGAATAGAATGCAGATCGCAAGATCAAATGTTATGCAGGTATGCTTAAGCTGGTTCATTAGTCAAAGTTGACATATAGAATTTTCCACCTTACACACTTCTCGATGTTGTTAGGCCTGCCTGAACCAATTGGAGAGTCTAAATCGTCGCCTGGAACAGGTTGCGTGGGAAGAAGATGCAAAAGAAGTTGAATCTTGGTTGACTGAACGTGAGGTTGAGCTGAATAACAACTTAAAGGTCTCACCAAGCCTAAATAATAGGAAACCAAGCCATGAGAATGGTTCGATTGATGAAAGAGAAGATGCTGTAGCAATGCAAATCCAAATTTTGCAACGTCAAGACAGATTCCAAGTAAGATTTCATTGGCCCAGATCATTTATGATTCGAAAATGACCTCGCTTATATATTCTTATCTCTTCAGACAACCGTATCAGCCAATAAAGCCCATATTGAGAACCTACTTACGCGTGGAACTAAGTTAGCCGAAAAGGAGGAGAAGATTGCTGGAAGGAGTGGATCTGTTGTTGGAAAACGCATCGCTACCCGTTGCCAGGATATTAGTACACGGTGGAAGAACCTTAAAGCCGCTTTATCGTCAGCATCAAATTCGGTGGATGCTTTTCGAGATCTAATCCACTATCAAAATGAAGCTGATGCTTTGGAAAGATGGCTCCGTGAAAAAGATATCATTGTATCGAAGGGTGATTTTGGATTAGATTATGACCACTGTATCGCTCTGAAGGAGAAGATCAACGAACCAGCTGCGGGCAAGATTGTTAATGATGCTACAATCAGAGAATTCAACTCTCTTTCTGATCGAATTATTCATGGTCTTCGTAGACCTTCACTTTCCAATTACGCCTCTGTTGGGGTTTTACACAAGCAAACTACTGATTATGTTACCAATCGGACATCCGATATTGTCAGTCGTTGGAAACGCGTTCAACAAAATCTTTCCAAATATGCCGAACAATTGGAGCAAGCAGCCAAAATACACGGAGTCATCAGCAAAGTCGACGGTCTGCTCATTCAAGTTAGCAATCGAAAGTCAAATGTAAAAAAACCAATTTCCATTGTTAATAGAAATTTAAGCACCATTTTTTACCTTGTTCTGTGATAAATTTAGGCCCTTGTGAGAGATGACCTCAAGAAGAGTTTGACCGTCAATGAATTGGAAGGACTTCTACGAATTTTACAGTCTCAGGAAAGAGATATTGGAGCCATCGAAAAGGAAACCAATTCTGTCAAAATAGACTCCAATGGTATTATAAACTCACTTTCTTCCGATGCTTCGAATTCGCAGACATCAACAATCATTAAAAATATTAATATTAAGTTGGTATGTACTCTTCATTGGGTTCGATTCTGTTTCCCATTATTGTTAATATTATAAGATAACTTATACCATGTTAAATGTTCAATAGGATCTATTGGAAGCTACAACTAAAGAGACCAAAGCCCTTCAAAAGCAACGACGTGAGTGTCTTGAGTCCAAACTTGATGCTCAACGCATTTTGGAAGTAAGTTGGAATTCATATTTTTTAACGGCTCTCTATTTATTTTTTTTTTAAAAATTATGTTCGCTAGTATGTTTCGGAGTTTTCCGAAAGTCCGTCCGTTAGCGTGTACCCACTAACCAGTTCATCATTTCTATACACTTCAACGTCCAGATCACGCAACTATTTCATGAGTCTGCAATATCCAAGTTCAAAATAAGAATGATCTTATTGATCGGGGTTTAGCGAAAGTCCGCGGTTATTTGAGGTTAAGAGTTAAAATGGAGTCTTACAGCTTTTCCTCTACTTGGGACTGAAGCTTAACTTTCCCCATACTCGATGAGTCATCCCGAATGTGCAATACGCGAGCACTAGACTATATTTGTTTTTCTTAAGTGTAATATTTTAGTTCTGTATTATCGCCCATGGGCGCTTAATTTGGTGGGGAGTTTTTTGGCTTCCAAAAATAGTTCCACGAAATGGAATTTTCCGTTTAACCGCCCTGGGCGGCTTTTCGGAAAATCCAGGTAATCAGTTTACTGATCAGCTTTTAAATGGGTTTAGTTTATTTGTGCCGAGAAATTCCTTTTCTTCGATGTGATTGGCGTCCCTTATTAGTTTAGGCAATAAATTGACTTTATTAAATTTGATATTTGACTTCATTGCCAGCAATTCGTGGTATATGAAAATGGAATAAAACGGAAGACCAGTTAATGTTGCTACAGAATAAGAGACAATGCAAGTTTTCAAACAATAAAGAATTATCGTAGCTTGAAATAAATAAGTTCAAAGTGTCAGAAGCAACCTGAAAGGTATTTTACTCTCTCCTGATTTATTAACGAGCTCTCATTATTCTTAACAGGGTTGCCAGCAAATTCAAGATTGGTCGAACAACATAATACAAGAACTCCAGCCTCAAATTGTTAGTACTGCTATGGTGGGTTTGGTAGGCAAATTGGTCGCTCTCAAAAAGGGCAAATCCAATGCCTCTGACATCCCCGAGGATGAGAAGAGACGAGCTTTCATAACTCGAATGCGAAGACGCCTTACCGATTGCCAGTCGGAACTCCCCTTGCGTCAACAACAGTTAAGTAGACTCCAGTCTCAGGCCCAGGAAATTAAGTCCGAGACGACTGTTGAAAGAAGCGCCATTCCTGATAAGCTCAATCAAGCCAAGGCGTCGTTGAATAAAGTTGCCGATGTTCTAGCCAAATTAGAAATTCAAGTGAATATTGAGGAAAAACGACAGGTGAATAACTTTCAATTTGTGGATATATATTACTTTGAATCTTCATTCAACTAAATTGGTTTTTACTTTGCAGGCATTTGCAGCTATCGGGAAACAGGAGAACCACTGGCTAGATTCAGTTCAAATTCAAGCTCAACAGGCTGTCAGAAGTGCCTTTAGAGGTCTTGCTACAGATTCAGATAACAGTGCGGATGAGGACGTATGTTGGCCTAATACTTCGTTTTCAATTGATTTAGCATATATCTTTAAGCATATTACTCACTCACTTTAGATCGGTCAGCCCACAATAGTCGCATCGACAAATGGTACGCAAGAATACTCTGCGCCTTCCGAGATCTCTCCACAAGCCTGTCTTGCATTGCTAGATTCGTTAGCATCAAGTTTGGAAGACCGCAATACAATGTCGAATCAGTTTGAAGAGCTTCAAAAATATCATACTAGTTCAAAGGAAGCTAAGGAGGTACTAGCACTTTTACTGACAATTTTTTTGCCAACTAAGATTGTATGCGCTAATTTTGGTTTCTTTCTTTCAGATCTACACATCAGACAAGTTGAAAGAGGATCAAACAATGTTAGACAAAACTCACAAGAAAACCGCAGAAATACAAAAAATGGTTGCTCAGATGCGAGGACAGATCGAAGCTCGAGCTGAACTCGATAATTGGTTTATTTCAACTAATGAGACTCTCCAATGGATCATGGATAATCAGGTTTTAGCCTCGAATACCTATGATTGGCGCGTAACAATGAAACGGTATGGAGAAAGAGTGCCTAATTCGGAAAATGATCAACTAGCTGGACCAAAAGGCTCCGGTGGAATGGCTAGAAAAATGGCTGCAAATCGACGCTTTCTTGTTGATGTGAGTGAAAGTGAGAGTATCTCCCATTTAATGGCTTCGTGGTAGAAAAAAACTTTCCGTGGTGAATGCTTGTGTAGACTCTTATTCTTAATCTGGGGTTTTTGAGTCAAATAGAATACAGCATTTCTGTAGTTTCGTCAAAACGGAGGATTTAAAATAAGCTATATTCTAATGTGGGTCAATCAGTCTTCTAGAAAATATGATTCATTACTTTTCGTCTTGGTTTCATTTGCTTAATGGCGCAATGATGCCTCCCATTTGCCTGTAACACTATGCTTCCGACTTTAGATTGACGTTGGACTTGAAATGGTACAACATCTGATTGAAAAAGGTGAAGAATTGGCGAGATCAAATCCTAAGAAGGCGGACAAAGTGAGACAGACTATTCAGGAATTGCAGTTGGCCTCCAATAAACTTCGAAGTACTTGCGCTGATCGCAGCACTCGCCTTGATCAAGCCAACGAGCTTGTCAAATTTGGCCAACTTATGGATGAAGCGGTTGAGGCAGTCAAGCAAACGGAGGTCCAATTTATGTCTGATAACTATAATATGGATGCAAATGAGTTGAAGAGGCTTCTAGAGAAGCACGAGGTGAGACGGTTGGACCGAGGAGTCATGTCTGGTTCTCCTTGTAAATGTATTTATGTTTTTATTTAGGTTCTGGCCAAAGATATTCAAGAGACACAGAAGGCTCGGGCTAACTCTTTGCTGAAAACAGCCACAGAAGCAGAAAGAAATGGTCATTTTGGAGGCCCTAAAATGGTTGCTGAAGCAAGAGAGCTTTCAAACACAGTAAACGTCTCGCTGCCACAGCTGCTACAAGCTCGTCTTGATGCTATTCAACTGATGATCACCTGGCGTAGATTGGAGGAAGAAATTTCAGTTGAGAATGCGTGGCTTAAGGAGCAAATAAACAGTCCTCTATTAGATATCCACTCAACCACAGTAGGGCATACCTCGAAGATAACAATAAATAACTTACCTGGCAATTTCATTGAAATTTATCCCTATATCTTGGTTACAGAACTTGAATTATGAATCAGCGACCCGACACCTGAAGGCGCTTTCAGAACTCGCTTCTCGTTTGGCTACACAATCGCCGAAGTTTGAGGAAATTGTGGATGGAGTTCGCAATCTAACTGGCAATGGCTCCTTGAAAGCTAGATCCATTCTTGATGACCTTGGCACACTCCAGGAGGCCTCTAGATCTGCGAATCAATTGATGGGTCAAAAATCAGAACTGGAGTCCCGTATTGGCATTTGCAGTCAGCATCTAATTGCTAAACACATGTACCTCCAGGTGAATTGGACCCTTCTAACTGATTGGCTTATTTGCATTTGATTGAGTGTTGCATTACTGTTCTCTAATTTTGACAGAATATTCATGATATTGAAGAGGCGCAGGAGTGGATAAAGCAACATTTCCAACCGGTTTCCAAACTAGCCCCACTGACAGATTCCAAGGGAACTAAAGCTGCATTCCAAAATATCGGACGTCTTCGTGGTGATGTAAACGCCTTCCTCCGTAACACGATCGGGCCGCTTTCTGCTCGATTGCAACAGCAATCATTAACTACCCAAGGAGGCAAATTCATTGGTGATGGTCCACATTCGGAGGGCAGGACTCGAGATCTTGTTGGGGATGATTTACTCAAGTTGGCTGAGAAATATAGTGGTACTGGTGAATATCAGGGGGATAAAGACACCCAAGCTAATCTGACCCGGTATATGGTAAGCCTTTCTATGATAATGGATCTTTGTTAATTAATTTCCTGAACCCCTTCTTGTTTATTATTATAGTTTCTCTCTAAATTTACTTTTGATAATTTAGTTTCAAAGATCATTTCTTCACATATAAGTTAAATTTCATTGAGAATACTTTTAAGCTATTTATTTGGAAATATCGTCTGATTAAGATTACCTTGATGCATTTTGCAGTGTCTGTTCTCAGACTCTAGACGTTTCACAACTCAAGATGATTAAAATTTTATTGAGTCTCTTAAGCTCTGAGATTGTCTGCTTAGAGACAACCGCACAGATTAATTACGGATTGAAAAATAAAGCAATCATAAATCTATCTAAAAATGTTGTTATCATTCAATTGTTATTGATATGTGGTTCTAAACCGATCAAGGAGCAAGTAACAAGAGGATTTAACGATTGTGCGAGACATCGGGTCAGTCAATAGCGCATATTGATCTGTTGTCATCAATGCCCTCAAAAAGTGAAAAAAATTGCATAAAATTAATAAAGTAACTTAATGAGGGAGGGATTCACCAAGGGGATTAGAGAAGCATATAGTTGGGGAGGTGGGGGGGGGGGGGGGGGGGGAGAGGTGCTGCAGGTAGAAGATGATCAGGAAAATCTGAGAGGATCTGGCTTGGGAAGGGGGGGGGTAGGGACCGATATGTGTTGAAGACCAATACTCCTGAATACTTGCAAGCGAAGAGTTGGTGGAGTGAGGTGGCGGGGGTTAATTATAAGATAAAATTTTTCTGATAAGGTGCTGTACTGGCAACTAACAGTCTTTCTAGTATTGCAAACTTTTCAACACTAAAAATAGACAATTATGGGCAAAACGAAACATTTGAAACATGGCTGGCTTCTTAATTCGAACATTTGAATGCTGTTTAAGGCCGAACTCATGAGGAACTATGATGTGCTGGCCTCATACTACGAAATTATTGAGCTCCGTCTGAAACTACGCATCAGCATTAATTCCTACAACACTCAAGCCGACGAGTTCAACAAATTTTTGGCTAGTCTCGAAGCTGACATCAACACTAAGGATTATGGTGTTGATCTGGAAGAATGTGAAACCATTCTGGCGAAGTTTTCCGAACGTTTGGAGGTAAATTGTGACTCAAATATATCATTGATGCGTCATGGACGCCCGGTCTGCACTCGTTTTTTATTCTCTCTTTTAGAGTACCTCAACTTCAGGATCTTCTCAACTAACAAACCTTACAAAACGCGCTCAAATCCTTAATGAAGCTGTAGATGACTTAGCGAACAAGATTGATGTAGAAGAGCAGAGATTAAAAAATACTGAAATGCCCGAATCTCGCGGTTGGTTGCAGATATCTCCGGAATTGCGAAGTCTTCAAGGTGCTGTTCAATTAGATTTAAAAACTGTTCAAGATAGACAGACTGAGTTGACCCAGAAATGGGCTACAACAAGAACGGGAATGAAGCGGAGAAAAGAGGTATGTATAATCCTTGCATTAATCCTAGGCTTAATGCTATCGGGATTCTAATAATTTTTTCCTGCAGAATCTCCAATCGGCCATGCAAGTACACGCCTACATGTCTGATGTGGATGATTTGCTTGAATGGATATCTGAAAAGTCTCCAGAAATTCGTGACAACCAAATGGGCACAGCGATGCTTGGTCGAGTGGCTAGCCTGAAAGCTAAACGTCCGGAACTCAATATACAGGATTCCAATAGTCTGGAGAAAGCCCTTAATAATCAGGAGAAGTTAAGACGGGAGGTTAATGCCATACAAAAGCAAGTGGACAAGCAGGAACAGTAAGTTTCAAAGGCACTATCGTGCTCTCCAGAAAATTTGGAACCTTGGTCGTTATTGATAGAAAAAAGTGAAGTCACTTGAAAACATGGAGAAGTGGAATAAATTTAAAGAAGTATGAGAAAATAAGCTTCTAATGAAACTTACCTCCTCTCAATAGCAGAAAATTTCAAATTCTTAAAGTGATCTCTATGCCTTGTTATTTTAAATAAATCCATATGAAGTTGGCATAAGTTAATGATGAGTGGTTGAACTAAGGTGAAAGTACAATGTACATATTTATTCATTCAATTGTTTTCATTTAGTTACCATCCGCCTATAGCTCCCTAATTGCCCTATCATGTTACAAAATTTTCCATTTTTTGGCGGTGAATAGAGCTTGTAATGCGATCCTTCAAACGACATCTAGATAAAATGTCCCTAATGCGTAAAGACAGAGGGAATAATTAACCTTAAATAGATAGACATAGTACTAATCTCCATCTTAATCTAATTACGTAAAAATATATAAATAAATATATTGATGGGGTGGCCAATTTAGTTGATTAATACTGTAATATGTCTCTTGAAGAGAGTAATTTAAAAGACCGATATCTTATCCTATTGAAAGTTAGTTTGAATATCGGAAATCGATTTACTTGCAAATGATCATTTCTATCCAATAATGTTATTCTTAAATTACGAATATTATAACACTATGCTACCCTAATTCAGATGATGCTAAGTACGCTTGCTAAGTCACTTACTAATTAATACCTGGAAAACACAAATGCAATATGTTTACGTACACACGTCAATCACGTTCAATTACCTAGAAATCTGCTTTCTTTCTCTAGATGATTACGTTTTTATTTGCGTTTTGAGATCTTATTCTCATAAACAGGATAAAATCAGGGGACTTAACGATCCTGATCAACTTAGCCTTGAGCACTGTCTTGTGGCAATTTCGGAAATTTATTTTCAAATATCGCCCTTGGTATTTTCAAGGTATCGGGAAAATGCATCTTGTAAACAAAATCCCCCCCCCTTTCAGTGAATGAATGGAATGCGCGAACTGGATTTACGTTACGTTGTTAATCACCACAACTTCCGACACATTCCATGTTATGCTAGGAGGATAGATTAATTAGAATGATAAATACCTAGACATCCTTTTTACGGAGAGAGGGGTGTGTGAGGATATGGGGGTTGGGGAGGGTAGGGAGGAGGGGGTGAGAATGGGTTAAGCAAGTTTTTGTGACTTGTATCAAGCAATCTTTCAAGGAAGATAACGTTCGGGATCAGATGGCATTCCAATTCTTGTTATTTATTTACTGGCCTTGGTAGAACCTGAAAATTGCGGTATTTTTTTTGGATATTGAAATGGAGGATTGGCAAGGATTCGCATGAACAGAAAATATTGCATTTCTGATCGCATTCACTTTTAATATGTTGTAGACGAATAGAGCCTAGGACCCGCTATCTTCATTGCTGCGAAATTGTAGTTAAGCTAAGAATGCTAGTTCTGGAATCAAGAATAAACAGTAAGAAACAATTGAAACGCCTTTCTCAATCATATACTGGCATTAGTTACTATACATCTAGTTTAAGGTGATCGAAAGTCTGTGTGCGGTTTCGAAATAGATAAAAGCAACCATTACATTTCAGGGAGTGCAAACGTCTTAAACAAGAGTGTCCAGATCGTGTTCAAGAGATTGAAACTCAATGGAAACGCCTGCAAACTGGATGGTGTGCATTACAGTCAGCAGTCGGTGCGGAACGTCAGAGACTCACTGAAGCTCAACGTGTGACACAATGGCAAAATCGATGCAACTTACTCTGTGGATGGGCTGATGAAAGATGTTTTGCCATGCTTGCAATTCGTGAAATTCCTACAGATTTGGTTGAGGCGCACAATCTGGTTGACCTCCATAAGCAAACCCGAACCCAGATTTCAAAGCGATCAAGCGAAAAGGAGGAGATTATCGGGTGAGCTTGTGAACCCATACCTCGACTAATAGAAATTATTTTGATCTTCGTTGGCATCATTGCTCTTTGTTTTCAAAAATCCGAGTCCGTGTATATTTGGTTAGCTATATATAATACACTCACCTGCTCGATTACATCATTTAGTAGCGAGATTACTTATACCAATCATGAAGTCTGAATAACGTTTTATTACTCTGTCCAAATTACCTCTTGATCAGAGAGGTTTAGTTGTTCATTAAGAATTTTAGGCCTTAGAGTGGAAAAGATGATTAGCGTTGTTGCGGTGCCCTCCTGAATTAACTTAAAGAATGTTTTTGCTTTCTTCTTTTTTTGTTTTTTTTCACTCGGCATGAAAGCTACAGTTGATCAGGCTTAAGGGGGTGGGGGAATAGAGAAAACCTGCGGTTCAAACTGAGGGCTTTTCTCACAATCCACAATAACTTCATTTTATGTATAGGCTTGAAAAGATTAAAAATGATTGGCTGCCTGGGTAGCCAATAGCTGCTGTGACAAATTCTCCACTAGTGATATAAGATATCCAATTATATATCGAATCGATAGCTCATCGCACGAGAGGAGACGATTAGCAGTTACTCTTGAGTGTATTGAAAGTAACACGATATGCTTTCTCATAGTTTGGATATAAATTAATTAAGTATATTTGCTATAGTGGAACTGTAATATTGAGAAATTATTGCCATGATATCAAACTACAAAGTTAGTCCATTGATTGGGATTTTGATAATGCAAATAAATTAATGAATTCGATCAAAAGTTAATTGACATATTTAAAATAAAATCCGATTCAGCGTCGGATTGAATTCGTTCCTCCGTAAAACCTTAAAATAGCATGATTCATTCCTCTGTTTCTCGAGGAAATTTTATTACTTTTCACTGCGTCCTGTGATCTTGGACAGCAGTTTAATGTATTGTGAACTAGCATGCTTGCAACCTCTGCAGAGATCATTAGAGTTCACGTAAGGCTATATTAAGATCAATATTAAAATTTGTGGATTTAGATTTCGTTTCTAATCTACGGAGGGTCTTTGGACAATTAACAATGCCTTATCATTTCTGGATTGGGTTATTCACTAATTCGACCACTGCTTAATGAAGTTTTCTGAGTGATGAGGAATTGGGGTGGTAGGGGGGGGGGGGGGGGGAAGGAATAGAACCTGAGCCAATATTATTCAAATATAGGACTTTCGAGGTCATTAGAGCAGCCGCTGTCGCTGAACTAACTCTAATTTCTCAAAAATATATTTGTCTGCAGATAAAAGCTACGGTAAATATGATTAATTTTATGTCAGAACTGTGGCAATAACAGAGACGAGGGGTAGAAAATAGGTTTAATTTAAATTTTCATCCTAAATTCGTGAATACTTAAGTTTTAATTCCAATGACTAAATAGATGGGATTCTTTTCAAATTGATTAGATGAGTATCTAATCTTCTCCCTTTAGATCTGGTCGGGACCTTTCCAACTTAATCCCATCCTCAAAAATCGTAATTCAGAAGTTCATCGATAAACTCGAAACCGCCTGGTCGCAAATGTTGAGGGTTTGGTCGTCAAGGCATAGTCTCTATGAGAAGAACCTCGATTTGAGGGTTCGTTTCATAAAGCTTCAATTTTTATAAAAAGCTTTTGCTTTCTTGTTTTTTTAATTCCATTAACCACCATGTTTAATCGTGGATTGATTTATAACAAAGAGCCTTGGGTATTACTCCACGTAAAAGTAATGACCTTTTTTATTTACCTTTGCATTGCGCACTTTTTGTACTTTTATGGCTTCCTCCATCAGCCTAATAAAGATTGAAGCGACTGTCTTTCGCCCATTTCGTGGGTAATTCAATTAGCTGACACGAGCCGCGCCTTGCTTTGTACTCCGATGCGTTTTCTGCTCCACATCGAATTCTCTGTAATGCTAGCCATTCCACGATGGTGGTTGGTAAATGGCAACTTCAAAGTACCAAAATGAGAGAAAGTGCAAATAATCGTGAAAGTGCCCAATCAGGTTGACTGATAAATAAATTGTATTTGAGTTAATTATCAATGAATGTGCATGTAATTTAGGGATTTATTTTGAGGTGCGAAATTGTTGGACTATTTGGAGTAGAATTTACCGGTCAAATGAATGGAAAGACAGAGAAGGCGATGTCGGATAGATTTCTTGTTTGAAAAGTAAAGAAAGGGTGTTGGGGGGTGGTGGGTAGGAGGCAAGTTGTATTTGAAATGATGAATGAAAAGCATGAATAATATTAATTGCAAAGGGAGGTGGGTTGGAGGTGGATAGTAGGCTATTCATGCACACGTGCTAATTTAAGTTTGTTTGAAATCAGGCCACTCCAGATAAACAAATCAAATGAATGAGTACTCAATTAATTGAAATAACTTTGTGGAGCACTCGGTTTAAGTTAAATCATTACCCACATTAGCTGCTTCAAGTCAGTTACATCTCGAAATGGAATTTAATATCCTTGCAGTTCATTAACAATTTATCGAATTCTGTTCAACATGCAAATAAAATTCCTTGCTACGAAATGGGAAAGCAAAACATTGCTACCGTAACTTTTATAACTCGAGACGCAATGGAACGGCTCTTTGTGAATGTGTGTGTGTGTGTGTGTGTGTGGGTGTGTACTGTCTAATAGCAAATTTATGAGCCTAGTATCCTACTCTACTTTCCTACCCCGATCGAGTAACAATACAAGTACCAGAAGTAGGCCCAGGCTATGAAGACAAGTGCCAGGTTTTGTGTTTTGTGAGCACTGAAGGATACCATTGTTAACATTGTTAATGGAAAGATTTCCGAAGCTTCCAATAATTTATTTATATCAAATGGCAGGCGTCTTGATGGTTGTCATTAGCCCTTTAGTTGACTTCAGGCTTCACAGAGGGGAAGGAACATCAAAGTGACAAAAGACGAGAGGGGGGGGGCAGAATAGAAGATTGTTTCAAAGGTGTAACAAAAGACAGACACAAGGGCAGAAAAAAGGTGATGTGAGGACTGTGGATGTAATCGAATATGACATTCAGTGGGGTGATGGTAGTGTGAAGTGAGAAGTCAACTGCCGGTTAATAGACCTTTTTTGCCGTATGAGTATACTTTGCCCAGGCTGCACCACGTGAAGTGGTAAGCCTATCGCATAACCCAAGCTCTCAAATAATAAGAGATGGTGTTTACATCTTGCCGAAGCATTTTATCCACAAAAGAGTCTAAATCAAAACCACGATAAGCTTTCAGAATTAGTGTTGGGTTAAGAGTTCAGGAGTTAACTGGTACTTTTCATTTAGAGTCTCAACCTCTCCGTATAACTCTATTTAATCAGTGCGAGTACTATTCCAGCCATTCTAAACTGAGATTTAAATCTCCGAGCAAATTATATCTCACTCCAGAGTTGGCTATCTGTTCCTTTTTTACCAAGCGTAATTTATCAAAATATTTTTAATTTTCTTAATAACGAATCGAAGGGATCAATTTGACAGTTTGTTTGCTTTTTCTATTGGTTCATCGGAGACGATTTTGTGAAGCTTTTTCAAAGCTCTTCTTCAAAGTTTGGAGAGATAGCTGAATTTTCTCCAATTAAAATCCATAGCATAGCATAACCAATTAATGCATGAGGTTATTAAAAGCTCTTCAAATATTCATTCTGCGGTTTATAGATTTTAAATCAGTGAAGTTCTTTTTACGTGCAATCTGTACAATTTTACCACGAAAAGACTTACCAACACTCCGTCAGAACTCCTAAATTCAAATAATCACCACCGTCCCCACGCACCTCTCTCCATCCCAATAGCCTTACAAATCGCATTAATTGCCCCCTTCTCATTGATAATTCATACAAATATGCTTTATCTTTCGACATTCTTCAATTACTTGAGTTCATCATTGGGAGTTAAATAGAATACGTGGCGGGGTTCACTTGAGTTTGCAAAAACCAGCCTTGCACGCATAATTGAGAAGCGAGATCCCCAAATATAGTACTCAATCTTAATGTGAATGAGAGTAAACTCATGGTTAGAAAGCCAGGAAAAATCTATTTAAAATCTCTTTATTCGCTTGTTGAATACGTCATATTTATTTATATCAAATGGCAGGCGTTTTGATACTTACCATTAGTTTTAGTTGACTTCGGGCTTCACAGAGGGGAGGAGGAACATCAAAGTGAGTGAAAGTCGAGAGGGGGGGGGGCAGAATAATGTTTCACAGATGTAAAAGAGACAGACAGACACAAGGGCAGAGAAAAGGTAGGATGAGTACTGTGAAAGTAGTAGAATATGACATAGAGTGGAGTGATGGTAGTTTGAAGTCAGAAATCACCTGTCGGTTTATTGACTTCTTTTTCGTATGAGTATACGTTGCCCAGAGGGCACCACGTGGAGGAAAGTCTATCGCACAGCCCAAGAATGCCTCTTAAATCTCGTACTATTTTAGGCATATTTTTGATGATTTACCCATAGTATGAAAAACAAGGTATTTTGACTATTTTTTAAAGTAAATGTTTAATAATGTGTTGGATTCAATGTTTTCTCGGTGTTCCGCTAATTTGATGATCATCGCAAGTTTTGATTTTTTTCTTAATAACTATATAACACACAGAAGTATTAGTCAATAATATAACCACCAAAATGAAGAGTTGATAAAACTGTGGATCAATTTATTGTAGGGGCTAATTAACGCACAAAGGATTGACATCAGTTGGAGTCTGAGGGTAGCAACTTCGATACCCCCAATTTAAGTTTGTAAAATTTTTCCATTAGGAAAAAGTTTGAGAGCACAACGTGAGTTCTGATTTGTGATCCACGAGGTTGCTTGTGAAACTAAATGAGGTGAAGGGGTCAACAGGATATCTGTTCAATTTTTTTTGGTGTAATAGTTGTCTTTTGGTGATTCACACGTCTAATTACACGTGATAATTGCCAATTCCAATTATAATAGCATCAGTTGAAACAATTGCACTATTCAGCAGTTGGTTGGACGTATTCGATATTTGAAGTACTTTTAAATGAAATAGAATTTCATTGAACAGAGATGGTAGGGTGTTATTCAAAGGCAATTAAAGAATACAACTACTTCCAATCTAGAGTGTCTTATCATAATTCTCTTACTTCAAGATTGATAAATTCCCAGTGAAACTGCAAATCTTAAGCAAGGAATTCCATTCCATTTGCAACGCAATTTTAAAGTTAATTTCCATTTATCAGGCACGATTATCTGGTTGAGCAAAGTTGCATAATCTTGTTTATTTTTTCTGGCAGAAATGAGCAAAAATACTGACAAATTTAACTATCCCCGAGAAAAATTATTCTTATCTGATGTCGCAGGAGGAAGCGGAAATCTACAATTTAATTAAAACTGACAGTATTTTACGACCAGAAAAAGGGTGTTTCTGCTGTGCTTTTTTACAAAATTAAGAGATTTTCTATTTTAGTAAGTTCGAAATGAACATTTGACGAAATTCTTATTTGGAGTAATTGTAAAGAATTTAGATCTAATATTAATTTAATTAAGTAGCGAGTTTAGGATTAAAGTTAATTCGCTTGCACTTTTTGTAAGCTCACACGTCAGATTCATTTTTCCCTTTGATACGATTTTGAAATTTTCGGCATAGAGGGAGAGGACGTCAAACGTAAAAGCAAACAATTACACACTTAAAATCGCACTCTTGATTTGAACAAAAGTTCACAACAAATGACATTACCCTCTTCCACACCCTCCTCACCCTTCCCATTCCTTCCTCCCCCCACCCCCCACTCCCCCCACATACTTCCCCCTTCCCCAAATATTCCGTCTTCACGAATGCTTTTTGCTGTAATGAAGCACTTGCAGTTTGTTCACAAAGAATTGCATATTACATCACTGGAATTGTTATAGAGTGGCTCAGAATGGATTTTAAATCTAATTACCGTCATGACGTTCCCCTCTTTGCGTTCGTTTAATGCAAATCTTTGTTTTTTTTTCCATCTGACCATTTTCGATACGATCAATGGCAAGCTACTTGAAAACAAAACTATTAACTTTAATGTGGTTGTCTAAGGATTTATACGAAAGTTTATTTATTTATATCAAATGGCAGGCTTTATGATAGTAATCATTAGCCCTTTAGTTGACTTCAGGTTTCACAGAAGGAGAGGAACATCAAATCAAAAAAAGGTCGAGAGGGGAGGGTGAACAGAAGAGTGTTTTAAAGATGTAAAAGAGACAGACACAAAGTTAGAAAAAAGGGGAGGTGAGCACCGTGGAAGTAGTCGACAATGGCATACAGAGGGGTGATGGTAGTTTGAAGTGAGAAGTCAACTGCCGGTTGATAGACTTTTTTGCCGCATGAGTATACGTTGCCCAGGGTGCACCACGTGGAGGTCGGTCTATCGCACACCCCTTTATAGGAAAGTTTTGGAGTGTAGATTTTGCAGTGGAAACGTTTAAAGCTTCTGTTTTCCCGAATAAGCGAACGCAAAAAGTAGTTGTTAATAAATTATTAATTGAATTAAGTTATGTGCGTGTGTTCTGATCAAACTCTTATTGAAAAGACGAAGGAAAAATAAACAAAAAATGGATCTGAAACGTAATATTTCCCTTTGGATTATTTTGTCACTTCCCACCTTCCATGTTAAACGGAAATTTCAGGATGATTAG